TTGTATATACAAAGCATTTCCTTTCAGGCCTAGCCATGAACGCCCCCCCCAAATTGAGGGCTCCGTAGAATCATCTAGGTTGGGAAAGATCTTTAAGATCATCAAGTCCAACCACGGTGTTGGTTGTGCTGGTGGAGTATGTTGCGTAGACAAGAGCCATGAGCTGCCAGGCTGGAAAGGAGGATGCTGGCGCTGATGGGCTCTCTCATCCCTGCTGCAGGGCAGCATCCCTTCCCGTCTCTGCACGTCCCCCATCCCCACAGAGCAGAGCCTGGAGGAGGATGCTCAGCCTCCTTATGGGCAGGAGGCTGCCAGTGCTGAAGTGACCTTGCGCAAGAGGAGGCGACGCAGGAGAAAGCCCAAGAGGAAGGAAGTGTCAGACATGGCGTTAGAAGGCTGCGAGGAGACCAGAAGTGACATGTCCATGGAGGAGCCATGTGAGCTGCCAGCCCCAAGGTGATTCTCACTTGCTGTCACCCAGTGGAACTGAAACATGGGGAAAGTGTTTCCAAGTTGGACCCAGCCTCCTGTGGAGTAGAAAGCCAGTGGAAATGGGGAAGCTGGGTATTGCCAGCTTTCCAGGCTGGTGCCCAAAAGCAGCATCATGGACTTCTTTCCCTCTTTGCAGTGATTCAGTGTATTTCTCCTTTGCTGATCTCCCTGAAGAAGGAACCGTGTCTCTGCAGTCCCCAGAGATGCACCCTTACTCTGACGGGGAGCTGGCCTCTGCAGACAGGTAACGGGCAGAGCCAGGGTGATCTGCTTGGCTTTGGTGACAGCAGGGGACATGCCTTGTGGTTGGGAGGGTGGTATGGAAAAGGGACTTGGGGGTGGCAGGAGAGGAAGGTTTTCCTGGCCTCATATGGTGTGGCTAGAGGAAAGCTGAGAGCCCCCAAGGGGCACTTCTGGCCATGGTCACAGACACAAGAAGTCTGTGTGCACAGGGCTCTGCTGCTGAGCTGCTTCTGGGCAACTGGTAGCATAGCACTTTGCTTCCTTTGGCCTCAGGTTATAGAATCGCAGACTGGTTTGTGCTGAAGGGACCTTAAAGCTCATCCAGTCCCAACCCCCTGCCACAGGCAGGGACACCTTCCACTAGAGCAGGTTGCTCCAAGCCCCTGTGTCCAACCTGGCCTTGAACACTGCCAGGGATGGGGCAGCCACAGCTTCTCTGGGCACCCTGTGCCAGCGCCTCAGCACCCTCACAGGGAAGAGCTTCTGCCCAGGAGCTCATCTCAATCTCCCCTGTTTCAGTTTGAACCTGTTAGAGTTCAACCCATAAGACTTGCTTGTTTGTAAGTGACAGGGGGCAGAAGTGACTCTATAGGAAAGCAGCCTTACAGGGCTCTTAGCCCTCAGTGTCCGTGCAGTGATAGGAAAGCACAGGGCTGTAGAGTAGATGAAGTCTCACGCTGTCTTTTCTTCTTGTAGCCCCATCCTGAGCCATCCATCTTCTCCCAGAAGTGATTCTGAGCTGGAGATCAGGCCACAGGAGAGCTTTGCTCTGGGGACTGAGTCCCACATGCAGTGGGCCTGGGGAAGGCTCCCTCAGGTGAGCCCCTGCTCTTGCTCCTCTCCAGCAGCCAGTGGCAGGGGGTGTCTCAAGGACAGTGGAAGAGGCTGTGGCCAGGCAGCCTTAGAGGAGGTGTCCTCTAAGCAGGACTGATGCTTTGGGCAACTTCCCGTTCTCAAACCTGTTCTTCTGCTTTCCTTAGGTGAATAAATCCGAACCAGCCAAGTCCATAAAGACCATTGCTACTGCAGAAACCACTATCTCTGTGGCACTGGCCCCAGAGGATGAGGCAAACCATCTTTTTGCCACCTCTGAAGGTCTGGGAGGAGGTCCATGCCCAGCAGGACCTCAGGCCATGCCCTGTTCCTCTGCTGTGTCTGTCAGTGAGCCAGCACCTGCACCACGGGATGGGAACGGCTTCTCCAGGCTGCAGGATGTCCCCAGTGCTGTGAGGGCAGAGAGCTTTTCGGACACCCCCTTACCCCCACAGGAGGGAGGCAGGAGCGTGGTGCCAGAGGTTCAGCCAGATGCTGCTCTGGGGCAGGTGAACTCAGAGGGCCCTGAGCCCCATCTGGAAGGCCAGAGGAGACAAGGTGCATGGTGACTGGTGCTGCTGGGAGCAGTGTTGGAGCCTGCAGGTGTATCTGACCTGCATGGAGGGCTGGGTTCTTCATTCAGTGTAACTTGCCCAGGACTGCCCTGGGCATTCGAGGTGTGATGTGTTTGCTTTGCCCTCTCCTTGTGCTACCACCTCCTTTGCTTTGAAGAGACATGCCTCAGGTTTCTTCCTTTCAGTGCCCACTCAGCTCCCTAGGAAGGCTTTCTTGCCTTATGGTTCCTGAGGTACATGCTTGGATGTCTCTGCTTTTTGCATGTTTAGAAGATTTCTCAGCAGTGTAGGCCATACCTTAACTTGAAGAGTCTGGCAGCACCTGGCCCAGCTCGTGTCTTCATCCCAAGCATACGAAGCCAGGTGGAAAACCACACAGAGCGAGGAATGATTCCTTTGACAGTGTATTTAAGGAATTTTATCCTTGTTACCTGTCCTAACCACCCTCACTCTTCCAGGCAGCATAATTTGGGAATGAAATTGTCTCCCTGAAGAAGAGACACTTGGGATTCCTCATTGGGTAAAGAGGGAGATCACAAAGCATTATCTTGCACGGTGCTCACTTCAAACAGCACCTTCATGTTGACAAAGCAGAACAGAGGCAGGAGCCTGGCCTGGCCTTTGTGTCCTTTTGGCAAGTGGTCTCATGTCAGTGCAGGTGTCTTGTGGTACTTCTGTTGCTGTTGATTTAAGGCAGATTTTCAAATAAGAGATGCCCTCTTTAAATGATACACAGATATGACAGAGGGAAATGCCTTTAGCTTCCTTGATAGATGCTAAGGTGATTGGAAAGGAGTTTCAGCTAAGCCCTCTCCCTTCTGTCTGTTCATTGAGGAGCCATCACAAGAAGTCCCAACGCGGGTCCCAGTGATGTTGGCCTGGCAGACCTCTGCCGCCTGGCTGAGGAGCAGGCAGCTCTCTACTTCCCCAGGAGGTGAGGCTTGTCCCTGCTGGCTGAGCTCAGACCCCCTTGAGCAATGCCCCTACAGCAGGTACGTCCAAAGCTATTGCTGATGCTGCCGCTGTTTGTTCTCTTGCTGGCAGTGACCCGGAGCAGAGTTCACAGCCCCCGGCAGCCCCTGGCAGTGCTGTTGGTGCCCAGCTGCCCCCCCACGCCCCCGCTCCGTC